ATTAATTTCAGCTCGATTTAAATTGATTTCATATATTTTTCTGATGAGAAAAGGAAAAAGAATTTTAATGAATTAAAATGTACTTTGAGCTCGTAGGTAAATTGTAATTCTATTTGAGCTATAAGCAAAGTTTTGTTCATGATGCTTTACGTTCTTACTGATAGAGCTATGACGTCACCGTGTTCTAAAAATATTAATCAAGTCAATTGTTCTTGTTATAAGCACTTTTAATAATTTCGAACTTTTAAAAACAAATCAAGATGATGAACTTACTAAAGAAGCTGTAAGTTTTTTTTATATTTAATTTTATGCTAATTATTGATGATTCATGCTATATTAATGAATAAGAAATATTTCCATACTGTAAAATTTATTTTGAAGTTAATTTGCAAAGTGCTAAATACTAACGTATAAATGAACTTTGTATAGTTTCATTTTTTATACAATTTTGAATTAGATATATATTAGCAGTCTTGAAGTGTTGGTTATTAAACTATGCTTGGAACAAAAGTGATATTTTCCTTAAGCTTGTAGGCAAACTTTAAATTCTTGTACTAATATAGCTATAATAATATTTTCTACGGTGAAGGTTATGAATATAGATAAAAGTAAATATAAACTGCGGTTACTTTGTGACAAATTGCACGATGCTTTATAAACGCTTCTCCAAAAAAATATATTATCTGTGTGAAACTGTAATATATCTATGACACAGATATAGTTCCTTGTTAACTATATCAATAGGTTTTAAAGCAAAGATTGTTAATATTGATTTATATGGCAGTTACCACTTTTGTTACAAGTTTCGCAATAGTAATTAGTATAATAGTAAACAAGAAACATATCAAATATCAACTCAAATCTACTCTTATTGTATCAACCTGATTAGGTTATTAGAAGAAAAAAAATTTATCATCTTTTAAGTAAGTATTTCAAGTGAACATTTTTGTCATCCGATGTAATAGATCAAATCACTGAATCCAGTCTTTGCATGCGTTAGCAAATCTCACAGTCTTAATGAAACCTTATTTTCTCTATTAAGTCAACAACTAAAAATCTCATAATTTGATCTCGTTACTAGCTTCTCATTTATTTTAGTATTTTTTAATTATATCAAAATAGCCAAAACTCTCTAAGACAGTGAAAATATCCTACAAATAGTGCAAGAAAAATACGTGAAAAATTTACCGATGCTTTAAAACTTGCTATTGCCGGAAAAACATTTTATAGTGCACCTTATCTCGCCTAATATAGAGCGTTATTAATTTTCATGCATCAAAGCATATACATGTATTATTTTTAAAAGGTTTTTGCGGAGAAAACAATAGTCTTGTACTTTGTATTCTTAGAGTTTTATAAGTCATTACTTTTCTGAAAACATTGGCAACCATATTTGGAATACCAGTTGGTTTTTTAAAAACCTACATTCCATATTTTTCTATTCTTTAAAATTATCAGAATGTCTCAGAAGCTTCAATCAGTACTTAGTGCTGAAACTATCTTTATTTCACACGTAGTTCATTGGGGGATAAAATATTTCAATACCGCAGAAACAAAAATCTTTTTACACTTGTTGCACGTACTCAGTCAATTTCTTTTCTGTCGTAGCCGCATCATTTTAGTTTTCAATTTTGCATTTTCCAGAAATTGTATTTGTGATCGAAATTTTACAAAAAAAATTATGTTTTTTCATTAAATTTTTTTGAAGTGTTTTTTTTTTTTACACAAAATCTTCGCATATTTGAAAACGAAGAATCGGAAAAGTACACAATTATATATTAAAATAATGTTCAAAAAAATAATTGAATATTTTTAATGGGTTAACATCATCATTTTATAGCAGTTTGATGCTAATTTTTATTTAATGACGTCATATTAAAGAAGCAATAAACAACTAAACTCCGTGTTCCATAAATTCCTTTGATGTTGAAATTTTGAGTTCTCTTGAAAGATTTTCATTTCGAGAGGAATTTCAATCTCTAATTTGAAGGAATTCAATCATGTTAAAGTGGATTAAGAAAGCTGCGTGAGTATAAATTAAAATTTTATTAAAATGTAATAATTTATTTTAAAGTTTCACAAGATTGTTTCAGTTTTTAGAAGTTAAAAATCAAAACATGAGGAAAAAAATAGAAAAAGTTCGACTATATGTGTATATTATGTGTAAAGAAATCTTATGATTTTCATTTTATTCCCAAAAAAAGAAGCTCTTAGATTTTTACTTGAATAAACCTTCCTATCGAATTTTATTGTAGTTTCAGGTTTCTGCATCTTATGCATTTTTTGATATTTAATTTTTATAATCTTTTATTGTACTTGATGAGTAAAGAAAATGCTTCATAGAAATTCAATAACTTAATAATATTTTATTAATAAAATAAGTTGAAAAAAAAATTTATAATAATTTGGAAGTATTGCCGACTACGTGTCTAAGCCAAAAATATGTTGACACCAATTAAGAAAATGACGTATGTGTCTTTCAGAAATAAGAAAAAATAAAATATTGATATTTATGAAGGATGACAAATTACCTAGTTAAAAAGCCATTTTTATTTCTCGCTATTAGTATTTAAAAATTTCGTAACAGATTATAATCTGGTAGTCCGGCATTTTGTCTTTACATTTCCATAGTTTATTTTGTTTTATTTTATAACCGTCGTTGAACAACCGAACCAATTTCTTAGGTTTACGACTTCTAATGTTCGAATCCGTAGCCTTGTAATTTTGAACCCAATCCGGAAGACAAGGGAACTCCTGGAAGTGGGAGAAACTTGCCTTCGTGGACGATTTTTTGGTTGGAAATAACCCGCATTTCGTTACTCGGAAGGGAAAATCACGAAAACCTCAAACGGTTGGAATAATGTCAGGGGGACTCCAATTCATGATCCGTCTACCACTGAGTCTGAAACACGTCGGATTTGTAGTCTGTGCGAGTCGGGTGTGGAGTTCATATCGACAAATCATTACTGGGATTCGAATCCGGTTCATCTTATTGGAAAACAAACGCTCTATCTCCTGAACAATGACTCTACATTTTCATATGTTTTATTTTATTTTATAACCGTTGTTGAACAGCCGACCCAATTGTTTGGGTTTACGAGTATTAATGCTAAACATCGTAGCCTTGTAATTTTAAACCCGATCCGGAAGACAAGGAAACTCCTGAGTCAAATATTAGTATACATTTGCCTTCTTGGAGGAATTTTCAATTCAACTAACGCGAATTTGCGTTACATGGACAAGAAAGCCACGAAAACATCCCACAGTTAGAATGATGTCAGGGGGACTCTAACACGCGATCAGTCCACCACTGAGAATATTTTACGTCTGCACTGTGTTCGGTGTAAGCCGGATGCGGAATTCGTACCAAATAGTTATCGCTTAGATTCGAACCCGGATCAAATCATTGGAAAGCGAGCGCTCTATCCTCTGAGTCATAACGGATCCTATTTCCACACAGTTAATATTGCAGCTGCTCTTAAAACTCAGATATTTGATTAAAAAAAGTTTATAGTCCTAAGTCCAAGTTTATAGTCCTTATAGTGTTTCAATATTTCGCTGTAAAGAATTTCGGCATGTACACCTTACAAGCACTGAAAGAAAAAGAATTACATAGGTAGAAAATGATTAATTAAGAATTGTTTTTTAATCTTCCTGCTTTCTTATTTCAGAATCCAACACAATCCATTGTTTTCTTCATGAGAGCCTAAAGTTATCATCTTTAGGATTCCATGACTAAATAAACCATATGATGACTATTTTTGGATGTTATCTCTTTTTGACAATGTTCCATCTGTATATATCTTACAATAAGCTTGTTACTACAGATGTGTTACATTGATGATTTTGGACTTGTTTCTTTTAATGACTCAAAGGCAAATGTAGCCTAAATATTATGATGCATTAATTGTTTTTGCAACTTCATTTATTTTAGAAAGTGCATAAAATGGAAGTCATTAGTACAATGTAAATTTCTTTTTTTTTTATTTTTAAATAAAATAATTAATAAATATCTTCTTGCCTTTTAATTTGCATAGTATGGCTATTTAGAAAAATTTTGCTCTGATTTAGCATACTAACTTTCTAGGCCAAAAACAGCATTGAAATTAGACATAGTTTTATAAACAAAATTATATAATGTTAAATATAATAATATCATCCATCAAAATATAATATTATCAACGCTTGACGTAACAAATCCTTCAATTCTATAAGTGTTGTATCACCAAATGCCCAGATTAACAATTGTGTTTTTAAAGAAATTCTATAAAAAGTTTAATAAATGTTATCAACCAATATACATTTTTCATTATATGTAATTAAGTAATTAAAATTATTAAATCTTAAGTTTGAAACACATTCTTAAAAGTATTATTTCCATTAATACCTTACATCTAATTTATTTTTTAATTTCTTTTGAATAACAAATTTCTTGTGAAATCGATTTCTTAATACGCGAATAAACAGAGTCGATAGATTAAGAAACTTAAAGAAAATTTATGAAAAGCACGATAAAACTATTTTTAAATAAATACTTAAATTAACTTTCAAATTTTTGAGGAGAAAAGCACTATTTTTCAGCTTTATAGGACATCAAAACTTGCCAAATTTTTCTCCACTCTAGTGAATGCTTGATTTATTGTATATTAGGTACTACTGGAAATTTAATAACTGCTGTTGTGGTATTTGGTATTTATTACTACCTAAAGAAGGTGTTTTCGTAAAATTATTTCCCTATCTTCTCTGTACCGAATAAATACCAAGATTTCTTTTTTTTAAAAATTTAGTACGAAAAACAAAATATTCTGAATAAATTTTTTGATAATGACAGGATTTCCACGAACTAACTTAATCTATCCTATTTTTATTTTTTTATGTGCAATAGCATATTTAAATGTCTTTACTAAACTGAATTATATTTTTAAACTAAATAATTAATTTAATTTAAATTTGAAATTTATTTTATGTTTCTATCAAAAATCCTGCTTTTGCTAAAACAATTAAATTAAGTGCCACCCTGAAATAATGTGTAATTGTATAGAATTTTATCCTCGTGTTTGAATTTTTAATAATTCTTTGAGCCTTTTCGTACTTTTTTGTATGAAACAGTTGCCTTACTTAATGCTTCACGATATCTGTATAAATGACAGAAATATGAGTGAAATCAGAAATAAGTGTAAATTAGTTTGCCAGAATACTGCACGAAAATTTTTTTATTCAATTTAATGAAATTTATTTTGCACATATTTGTTTATACATCTTAAAAGATTCTCACATGTGCTTTTCGCATCATTATTAAGTTTGAACCTACTAAAATATAATGAGGGAAGTAATATATTATCCTAAATATTTATCCTTGCTAGATTTTAGATATTTAATTTTCTATTTCTGATGGAAGCGATCGATGATTGAAAGGTACATTAAACTCCTCTGGCAAGTTTTTGATTCCAGGCGAGCTGTAAGCTCGTATTTCTTATTTCCAATGCTATTCGTAATAATGTTAGCCCTATGACGTCGTGTTCTATAAATATTAAATTGATTATTGAAGTTAATTATCAGTGTTGTTACGCTACTGAATATTTAAAATCATATGAAGATGATGAATTTTCTAAAAAAAACTGTTAAGAGATAAAAGTTGAAAAGTTGAATTTGTTAATTTTAAAATATTTTCAATTTTTAATTCATATTTAAGATTAAGTTGAATAAAAATAATTTTCTAGTTCTTTTTTAAAGTTATTATGTATTCCGTCTAATAATAAAGCATAAATTAATTTTGAACATCTCTTTAAATTAACACATATTAAGAACTGATTTTAAATAATTTTTTTGATCAAAACTGTATGCATAATATTTATTTATATTATATGAGGAATGATCGTAATTGTACTATTAATTGATTTATAATGTGCAGGAATACAAATAATTTCCATGACTTAAATTTTGAATTTAATGCACGATGCTGTTAAAAACTCTTATCCAAAAAATGCAGTGCATGCTTTAAATTTGCAAACATGAGAACTCCATATTAATTGTATTTAAATCTTTAATAGAATGGAAAATTTAAACCCTGTCCCTGAAAAAGGAATACATTTCATTTTTTGAGTATTCCTAAGATTTTATACGCCATTAGATATGTTGCTTTTTGTTAATTTGGACTTGTTTTATAGTTCCGTACAAGATTACTAATTAACTCACTAATTACTAATTAAACTTCATGTTTACAGTAAATAGCAATTTCTTTCAATGCTATGGTGAATCTTGATGGCTTTTTTTTCTACTTCTTAATGTTTATTATTTTCCCTATAAAATTAATGAATAAAATTAGTTTTAGTTGATGTTTTTTTATTTAATTTTATTTTGAAATAAAATAAGTGCTGTAAGTGGAATCGCCACACAATAGTGTCACTTCAAAAGTATAATCAAGTATTCATTCTTTCTTTTATAATAATTTTTAAAAACACAGTTTTTAAAATGTTTGTTTCCCTGGAAATAGAAAAAAAAGTTATTTAGAACTCTAATCTTTGTAATGTTCTGAGATTTGGTAAGATGACGATATTAGTAATTATAAGAGTGTCGACGGTCTGTCATTTTTATTTGCCAAAATGTCACATTTTCAGTGCTTTTAAAGTTATCTAAAATAATAAGTGTTTCTTTTAATGTTTTTTTTGGGGGGCTGTTTTTATAAATCTAAATAATATAAAATCAATAGTAATTGAAGCAAAAACTCAATTATGCACTAAAATGAAAATTTATTCAGAGAATGTTTCGAATTTCTTATGTCTCGAATAAACCTGAAATTGTCATGAACAATAGCAACATACTCAGTGTTGATTGATCCTTATTTTAATTAAGTAATCTTTATTTCGATTTGAAGTTTTGTAAAAATAATTTTCAAAACTGCAAACTTAAATTCCACGGAAAGGATTATATATGACAAAAATTGAAATTTTTTTTCTCTTTGTGAATTTTTTTGTATATTCCTTTCATATTACGTTTATGCAAATGTTTATTGTTGATTTATTCATTCTTCTCTACATACGGAGAATTGGATTTAATTTGTTGGCGAACAGCAAAAATCATTAGCTGCACTTTATTTCAAAAGGAAAACATGAAGCGATTTCCAAGTTTACCTGATATGAGAAGGTTCGTAATCTATGAAACACTTTTAATGGAGAATGTTTAAAAAGAACTAATAATTGAACAGTGCCTAATTTTATTTTGAATTTGTACTTGGTTTGTTAAAGGCTCGATACATTCCTTTCAAAATTTTGAACTATAATATTAAACTGAATGAGTTCCTTTTCTTTCTTTTCAGGCGACGGGCCTTTGGAGGCAAGAGAAAAGGAGATGCTGAAGAACTGAAGAAGGAAAAGATTCCACTTCTTCATGTGACTCAAGAGGACGAGGAGGACTTCTTTCGTTGGAAAGTTCCTTTTCAGGAATGCAATTTGGTGAATTGTCAGCCTGATGTTCAGAAGGTGGTGAAGTTGTGTGAAGAGAAAGATTTGCTTGTTACCACCGCCAGTAAAGATGAAGTAACGGATCAGTCGACGAAAGTGGACATAGTTTTCACCGATGTTGAATTGACACCATCTCTTCATCGTGTCTGGCTGGATGTCAACTACATCTTAAGAGAGGTAAGTCCAAAAATGTGAAGAAATAAGTGATTCAAAATAGAAGAACGTTTTGAGATAGCTCCTTATCTTATAAAAAAGAGCTCGACAGAAACGCTGACACTGTGTGAAGGCAGACCAATTTAAGTAAATTTTTCGCATGTAATCCATATTATTTTACGTAAATTGTTGCATACCTTTTTCATTCACTCTCTCCGTCTGTAAAGTTTTTTATGAACACATTGTTTGCCATTAATTAATTTTGGAACTAACAATGAAATATGGGTTTATAATACGTGACGAAATTTGGTAAATGTGGCAAAATTTGATAATTATATCGTGATATCTTAAGGCATGGCATAAATACCATTTATTCGATTTAATTTATTTTTTGGATTTGGGCTTTCTTCTAAATATGTGGTAATAAGATCTATATGTTTGAAATCCACAATTTCTCACAATTCCACAAATGTGAAGAAGTTACCAAAAGAAAAAAAAATTGCGAATGAATGGTTTAAACACCGTATATTTTTGTTTTCATCACCAAAGTTATAAATTTTTTGTTGCCAGAACTGCCATTATCATGTAGTACGGCACTTTTTCACTGAAATTTTTTTTTCGTGTAGTATTTGAGTATGAATCAAAAAATTTTGTGAATAATTAAAAATTAAAGCTGCTGTGATACGATGTTGAGGACAACTATCGTCACAAGTGTTTTAAATTTTTGCCAAGAAGGGTTGAAAAGTATTTTCTCGAAAAATTTTGCAATCACAAAGTTTTCTTTATCCATATTTCCTTTTCCTTCAGAACGGGTAAAAAGACATCTTTCTCATTAACTTGAGTCTGCATTTCGACCCATGCCACATACTTGTACCATGCCACACTATATATAGTAAGTAAGAATATAATTATCTCGATTTTCTCATGGTTTCTCATGTCTCAAGGAAGAAAATTGCACAGATATCAGGATATCAATACTCAGTTTTCATATTTCTCCAATGGCTCTCTCTTATATGTATCATAAATCGAAATAATATTGATAGCTATTTCCATAAGATTCTCGTATTATAGTTTCTAGGTTATATATGCTGCTGACTCCTTTTAAAACCTGTTTATCTTCACTGAAATAAACTATTACTTAATGAACACAATTCTCTCCCATTAACAAAAATCCAGATTTTTCACAAAGCAGCTGAAGTCCAATGAGAAACTGACTTTTACACAAGAAACGCTTTGACTATATACTTTAACTTTATACGTTGACTTCCACGGGCGAATGTTGACAATCACATAGTCGCTTTGGTAAATTTCTGAAATATATACTATGTCTAGTTAAGTGGTCTAGTTTATACAAGGGAAATTCTTTTAAAAAGCCCTTACTCAAGTGCCACTCTTTCCCT